CACTAAACAGTGATCGTACATTTATTGCCACAATCATAAAACATACACTGGAGGACAGGTAAAACAAACAAAAGACGGAGGGGACTTGGGCCAACCACACCACGGGCCGTAGGATCCAGAGCCTTCCTCCGCTACCCAAAATCACACACAACCTAACGGGAGAAATAAAGCCGCAAAAACCTAACTTTAACACGTCCTCCAGGAAACACAACAAAAAGCAAAAGAGCTCTGCCACAGCAGAGACATCCGGAGTAGTGATCGGCTTCCTCCTTCTCCTTCAGCCTCCTCTTTTATGTTCGGCTGATTGGCAACTGGGAATACCTGGGCCAAGCTTGGCTGAGTGACAACTCGGAACACCTGGGGAAGGCGGAGCCAGGTGTACCTGCACAGCAGAGAGAACAAAGAGGACAACAAAAAGGGGGGGAGTAAGTAACACCCCCACCATGAGTTAGTGATTTTAAATTTTTAAATTTTTTTTAAAACAAAACAATCACAACAATCAACCTTAGTTGACAGACGTGCTCACCACCACTCATTCCACACACCAGACAGGTTAACAACACACAATAACTGCTATATTATAAGCGCGACAATGCATCAGCCAACACATTATCCTTGCCACGAATGTGTTTGACCTCAACATTGAAGGCTTGCATGAAAATACTCCACCGCATCAACCTATGATTTGTGTTACGCATTCTCTGCATGGCAACTGGGAATACCTGGGCCAAGCTCGGCTGAGTGACAACTGGGAACACCTGGGGAAGGCGGAGCCAGGTGTACCTGCACAGCAGAGAGAACAAAGAGGACAACAAAAAGGGGGGGAGTACGTAACATCCCCCGACAAACTAAGCCTATATCAGCAAAACTAACTAACAGTAACTGCTAGAATCCACTTCAAGACAATGGTACTTGCGTACAGTACCATGCTGCGAATGGATCTGGCCCTTCCCACATCCAGGACATGGTTAAACCGTACACCCCAGCACGTGCACTCCGCTCTGCATCAGCCAAACGACTCGCTGCACCCTCGCTGCTAGGGGGACCCAAGTTCCCATCAGCAAAAACACGTGGGTTTGGGAAGGACTGGCTTATCTAAAGCCAGTTGAGTAGCACTTGAAATGTTTTAGCTCTATGAAACCTGATGTACTTATAGGATTCTGTTTTCTTCAAGTTTGTATTTTCCTGGTCAAATGCACTTATTGTAAGTCGCTTTGGATAAAAGCGTCAGCTAAATGCAATGTAATGTAATAATAATAAAAAAAAAAAAAAACTCTCGCTCTCTCCAGAGGGGCAGGTCAGACAAAAATGGCAAACGGGCAGTTGCCCCGGCAACATTAGCCTGTACCTGTGCATGTCCCTGCAGGACATGGATTAACTCCCACCCATTTTTTGTTCCTTTCTGCTGATAATTGCTACTTTAACTTTCACATAAAGACCAACAGTGTCCTCTCGGTTAGCCTTATTGGATGCTGGTGGGGCACAGGTTTTCAAATGCAAATGTGACAGAGAAGCAGCAAAGCTTAATAAAGCACAGAGAGGGAGTGGGAGGTACAGGATAACCAAGACACACACAGTTTTACAACACAACCTTCTGATCAGCTAGAGTATGGCCTTTACTCCCTTTCTTTGGTCTTTCAATGGAAGATTTATTTTTTCGATTACATTCTATACTTCAAAAAACAAGAATTGAATGTGTCTTTTTTGTAGGAAATGTGCAAGGACACCTTGAGAAAGATCAGGACATGAACTGGGTTGTTATCTGCAACGTGACTAAAGCCTCAGAGGAAGATGGCGGTAGCTTCGTTTTGAGTGACAGCAACACTGACAGAGCGCCCGCTGCAATGACCGAGTAGGACATTTCAAATGCTGTCTGACAGAATGTGGCCAAATGGACACGAAAGAACAGATATTGAAGTTCATCCACAATATCTGACACATGGTTGGATGACATTTTCGATTTGCCTTTGGCAGAGCAAAGGGAGCCACACACAAAGTACATGTTGTCTAAATGTGTCTGTGCACTTTGGTGTTTTTAAAGTTTGCATTTATAAAGAAATCACATTCATCAATATCTGTAATCTATACCAAATTGATTCCAGATAAGCGTGACGTGGCTGGGCTCATGTCTTGTTACTGGACAGCAGTATGGTGACTAACTGGGCTGACATGTGAACGTGGGAATACTCAGATGGCGAGTGACTCACTGTCAACATCAATGTTAGTGTCTTACATCTTTTTTATGGCTACACCTTTTTTTGTTCTTAAACATCTCTGTATTCTTTTCCCATTACATACTGATTAAACATGCTGCACAGTATTTAACAAACCACATTTCTCTCAATTTATTAAAGGTGTTAAGTCAGAAATAAAAACACTTTAGCTCATGCAGACAAAGGAATAACAACAGCATCTGACTTATCTGTTCAACGCAGAACCTTCTGGGAAATAGCTGCACAAACAACACTGAGGAAAGGACGATAAACACTACTTGATGTTGAAGTTTGAGGACATTGGCTTTATTGATTGAAAACAACATTTCTTAATAACAGTCTGCTGTTTCAAAGGCACTTAAATGAAGGTTTAATTGGCGTTTTGACTTGAGTGGAAGTCTGCAAACTCAGACACCATTCACATCTTTCTCCTATACCGGAGACTAATTATGTTTGCAAACTGACTGTTTATAGGATGAGAGGAAGTCAAAATAATTAAGGTTTCTGGGAATTTAATCTTTTCATTTGAAGCTTCATAGCGTTGCGCCTCTCTTAAATGCAAACACTAAGAAATGAAGCCTCTTTCACCTTTTGGAGTCAAGCAGTATGTTTTCTAAAGCACACTAGTTAATTTTGCCTTCTGTAATTATTACCCGCTATGCCTCATCCAAGTACTTTTTACTGTTGATGGATCTCTGTTATAAAACTTCATGCTGCACTATTTTAGTTACTAAACCCTCTTTCTCTCTGTAAGGCTGGCCTTTCTTCTGACACTAAATACTTGTTACCTTGACCTTCCTTCCCCAGGAGCAGGCTGGAATCTTTAATCCAACCTAGCTCTAAATCTTGCCAAGCACATCAACGCAGAATGGCTGAGGATGGCATCTCTTTGTATTTCTGAAGAGACAAAGCAATGGAAGAGGGATTTGGGAACAGCACGTGATAAAGATCCTCAGAAGATCCAATCCAAGTCAATTCTGAATTATTCACACAACCCTAAATCACAAATGTGCCTTCAGATGTCAAATGAATCAATATTGGTAGAACTTTGGAACATTTAATACATTTGATATGTTTAAGGCATTTGAACTTCATGATGGAAATGTCTCTGATTAGAGTGGATTGGGTAGTCGTGCATAAGTCGTAGTGATTTATTCAGAGGTTGAGCTTTCAGAGCAGTGTGCATAGTGGCCATTTATTCCTGCATTGGTGTGCGTGAGTCGTGGGTGTGTTTTCAGTTATGCATGTATTGACCCACAGCGCTGTCTTGTCTGCCAGGCCCTATTAATTCACTCCTACACTCGCATCTGCAACCATTGCTTCCAAAATATCATTGTTCCATTCTTACAGGCCATCTGCTTTTTTCTCTTTTGTGCCTACTATTTATTAGATTCTCTCTCCCCTGTCTTTGAGAACCACTGGAACCACTTCTATCGTTATCACTAACTATGCTTATCCCTTTTGAGCTGATGTTACAAAGCAGGCTAATGTATTTATCAATTAGAGCAATGTATCGACTTAGCATACATCACCTGCAGTGTTGAGAATGAAGGAACATTCCATTAAAGGATCAATAAAGCTCCTGCTGACTGTTTACTGCAAACATGGATACCTTTTAACCATTTAAACAAGATGGATTTCCCAGCAGTGACAAGAACCTGTTTACCGTTATAACTACAGTGTGGTACAGATTGTGTTTGCCATTTTTTAGGCTGCTTCTTAACCTTTAGGTTCAGATGTACCAGCAAGATATTTCAAACCGTGTTCTCACTTTGTTCTTCCACCTCAGCCAGCAGCACAAAACTATGCCAAGTTCAGTGTGGGAACGACAAACATCCCTTGTACCCAAGCGCTGAAGTGCCAGCAGCGTTATCACACAACAAGGCTCCCACATTTGAGTTTTTTTTACTCTGCTCTTATGAGCAGCAGGATTAATTTAGAGGAGCACAAAGCCAATGTTAGCATTGGCCATGTCAACATGACTAACAAGTCTCCTAGAGCCCTTCGCAGTGCTAGGAGACTTACAGGAAAGGGAAACAACGGCAGACAAAGTGGGAGTGAGGGAGGGGAAATACTGACACATGATGGACTGTGGAGTGTGGACACACACACACACACACGCACACACACACACACGCACACGCACACACACAGAAAAATAAGTGGGTGAGCTAAACTATAAATAAATAATTAAACGTATTGTATCATGCTCTTTGGTCCTCAGATGGGAGATGATACAATGTTAATATCAACAGATTTCTGAAATCAAAACGGGCTGTAAGCTTACACACAAACGCGCACACACACACACACACACACACACACACACAGCTACGAGCCCTGAGAAGCTATCTGACCTTTTTGGTTTGCTCGTAGGCTGCACTTTCCAAGCTGTTTGCTCACATTCCCTCTGCTGCCCTCTTTCAAATGATGTCAAGTTCAACCTTGTCTAATGACCAGGATAAGTCATGATAACCAAAAATGTATTTTTTTTACATTACAAGTAAAACTAAGCCCTTTTATCAATAGTGATACAAACAGGCTTTGGCATTTTTGTAGATGTGGTTATTTACTTTCTTGCTGAGAGTTAGACGAGAAGATTGATACCGATGTAAACGCTGATTCTTGTCATTATTCTACAGCCATTGCATTTTGAAATCCTCATTTACTTCACAATGACAAGTTAATGCAAATAAGTGTTCTATTTTTCCACTTAAATGTAAACTATTACGTCTAATAATGATATGCCCCAAACTGTCATAACCTTCCTTTTCTTGTTTTCAATAGGTCAGCTGAAGCTGTCAATCATCCAGGAGCAAGAAGTTCTTGTTGTTAGTGGTAAGTCCTATTAAAGGCTGCACTGCTGTGGCCAAACACCATGTACTCTGACCACTTGAAAGACTGCACTATGAGGCTGGTGAAATATTCAAATGTATTTGGCAAGGCAAATTGAGCACATGATTTGCAGCACATGAATGGCACAGTGCAGATTGTCTAATCACGACAGCAGACCATTCATATGAAAAGGCGTAGGTAGGTTGGTAGGGAGCTGAGCACATTGATCTAACTTAAGTGGTTATTTAATTTGGTCTCCCAGCAACCAAGTCATGCACGCTTCTACTTTTGTTTGTGATTCTCTGTGTCCTCTCTCAGGTCTTTTGTGCCCCTGTCATTTCTCCGAGTGAATGGCCATTTATTCATCAGATTCCAAATGAGATGTTTTTTTGTCCACCCTTCCATGACAAATGTAATGCAATGTCTAATTATCCAAAATGAGGGGAACAGAATATTATGAAAAAAACCCTCTAGAGATAATGCAACTCAATACAACAACATCACTGAATACTACAGAGTTTGATCAACACATCTCTAACCCTACAAAACTGAGTACATCTTTTTTATTTCAAGGAGAGTGAAAGCTGTTTTCTTATATAAAAAGAATTATTCAATGTTTTGTCACCGCGAATAATGCTCGATTATAGACCCGGAGTTACTTGCATTTTAAACCTATGTGTTTTGCATGTCGTTTCTAAGATGTGTCTTCAGGTGAAATGGACGAAGAGTCAGAAATGATTATTTATTATCGTATTTGGTGTTTTGATCTGTATGAAGTTGACATTTAGGACATTTTTGAACATATCCTGAGAAATGCCTTTAGACTAAACCATGTGAGACTTCTGACAGCCTCCTGTCTCTTGATCCATGAGGTGTTCGAGCCCCATGTGGACGTAAACGCCAGTAGAATTTCATTTGATGCTGCTTTTTGGCAGGGGATAAAGTACCCACAGTGTAATGGCTTGGTTGGCAACAAGAAAGGAGAGCAGGAAACATGCATCAGATGTTGATTTACTGAGCAGCTGTTTCTATAAAGTCTGGTTTGTAGTTATTGGAAATCTCACAAATCTTTTTCACTGCTTGTTATTTCAGCAGACAGACATCCTCTTTCTTTTCTTCACATACCACGAGTGGAGTTAATGTGATTCATTCAAGCTGTCACAATCTGCCTGTCTCCTGCCATTCCCTTCCCTTAAACCTTTTCTCTACTTCCACATCCACATTCTCCTTCCTGCCCTGCTATAACCCCTTTCCCTTCAGTCCTATACTCACCTGACCTCCCCTGTTCACCTATCCCACTTTCCTTCTGTTCCCTAAACATGAAACGTAACCTGTATCTGTATCTCTCTGCCTGTAGGCCCTGTATATACTTTCATTGTGGCAATAAATCATTAATCTTTTCCACTCTGCCTATATGTCTGCATTCGGGTCCGATTCTGCATTTCCCGAGTTGAAGCTGACACAAGCTATATTAAATGTGACGGCCCATACATTTTACCGTGTGCTCACTGGACTCCTAACACATGCAGAGTCTACCTGATTGCATATTTGTTGCAACATTCCCTTTTTACTGAAATATTGTATACCATACAGTATTCTGAGCCGCAGGGCATTCGTTGGTCCAGTTTAATTTCATTATTAGTGACACTTTGCGCAGCTCCTGAAAAACGAGATGAGCATATACATAATTAATGCGAGTAATTTATTCAGTTCTTTTTGTATGTGTTGACAGTTCTTGAGGCTCGGGGCATTGTGGAGGGTTGCCAGCGGTCATGTGACTCTTATGTTAAGGTATGTAGCCCTCGACAGAGTTATACAGTTCAAGAAAAAACTGTGAATATTAAAGTGTGTGAACTTGTTTTACCGTCCTATTCAGATCGGCATGTTCCCGGACAGCGATCCCAGCGACAGACAGAAGAGTCAGATGGTTCCTGAGTGTAGGAACCCCATCTTCTTGCAAACCTTTTACTTGTAAGCTTTTATACAATGTTACAGAAGTGCAGCACACCTTCAAAAATGTTATTTCAGGGTAGTTTAACTCAGTTGAATCCTAAGTGTAAGACAGATTTGCTTAACTGCGATTGAATGTGTGTTACACAATTACATCAAGACATTATGTCACTGTATATGATACATATCAATATCTACGTTAGCATTTTACACACACTGCTTTTGAGTCAGTTGTGTTCTATGCAGATGTTGTTAGTGCCAAACAGATGTTATTTCAAAGATGAACTTGGTAAACAAGTGAGGGGAAACTAGATTTCTTCTTTGTTTTCAGTGTTGTCAGTGAAGGGGACCTGCATAAGAGACTGCTCTTCACAATGTGGAACTCTGACTCCACATCGAGGTACCTGCTGGGAATGTTGACGATGTTGGTGGGGAGAGTGTTGGTTTTAGTGGCTCAAAGATAATCGTTTTGTGAGTCTTTTTCCTATTTGAACTTATCTTTACAAGAAGCTGTAACATGCAAAAAGCCTCCCAGTAGAGCAGTACAACACCATTGTATAATTGATTCTGCAGCGTGTGTGTGTGTGTGTGTGTGAGAGAGAGAGTGTGTGTGTGTGTTCACTCTGGCAGAGTGAATGTGTTACTCTCGCCTCCCTGCCTCACCAGACTAAAGATGAAACAGGGTCATTGCTGGGGATGGAGGACATATGGTTGAATGAGTCACACATCTCTTGTGCAATGTTTTATTGAGAGCACAGATGAAACATTGCTATGTGGTAGAAACACTGAAGAACACTACGTTTGACATTAATGCAGATATCCCCCTTTTCCAATTCCAATGATTCTTTGTGTTTTCAGTTGATTAAAAGCATAGTGTCACATACAGCAGCTGTTTGAAACGACGTGTACAGATGTACTGTATACAGGAGCAGGCTTACATGAGTGGTTGAGTTAAGATCATGGAATGCTTATAAAGATAAAGACCTTGTTGGGAGAGTTTCTGGGACACAGATTAAGAGAGATTTACTCATCTTTGGTAAGCAATTAAGCCTCATTCACACCAAATGTCACTTGGTATTTATTGGGAAAAGCCAGTAGGAACACATGTTTCAAATAGTTGAACATTATTTGCTTTTATCCAAATGCTGGTTGGTTTAATATTATATTTGTCAGTTTATTATCCTAAACACTTGAAAACAGTGTGCAGTTTGCCCTTCTCCAAACAATAGTATTGCATAGACTACGAGAGGTAGACTCTTACAAGCTCCCATTTCCTACTAAAAATGGCTCAGAAGCAACATGATGCACAACGATTTGTTTTGCACGCTTTCTTCAAATACTTCTAATCCACACAGAGCAATGTCACATAGTCATGGGTTCTCCAGGTGCTCTGTCAACCAAGGACTATCTTATGTAAACGATACATCTTAGAACCTCAAGGAAATCGATCACAATTAAAAGAACATCAAATAATGTCATATATTAAATGTCAGATCTGTTGCATGCACTCATTTACCGGTGAGGTGGAGAACAGATGCTGCTTGGATTTAGTTTTCTGCAGACAGCATTTGAATGTCATTTTAATCGAGGTTGCTGAAGTTACAAAACACTCCTTTTGTTAAAAAGAGCAACTGAGTAACAATATGTTCTCTTATCAGGCCACAGACATGCCTGCATAAACTGAAGAAGCAGCTCATGATCATCAACATCTAAATAAAAGAGAGACCTGACCGCCTGCAGACCACATGTATGCACCACAAGCAGAAATGAGGACCTAAAGTCTCTTCAGGGGTGATCGTCTTCAGGTCTTCATTACCCAAATGATTTAAAAAAAAAATCACTTTTTATTTCTAGCCCCAAATAAAACGTTGACTATTCAACGTTGCCCTCTTCTGTGCTGTGGAGAAGTTGTAAGCATTAGTGCCTCTTTAGCCAAACTTCTTAAACACTACAGAACATTGGCCAAAGTGCTGCTGTAGCCAACCGAAGGACATCAGTGTAAATCAAAACAGGCACAAAGCATTGCTTAAGTGAGTAGGGTAGGGCTGATGATAGGAGCAGCACTTAATTTAGATTAACCCAGGGCATCACAATGTCATTTTCTGTTTTCCCCTGCTCAATCATCCCTTATTCTCATCTCCTAACGATCCACATTATACCAAACAAGTGTTATGTGGGACTCTGCCAGCTCCATAGCTAATGGCAGCTCTTCAAAGTGTAATCATTGTTTGACCAGGCCACTTTGAAAGAAATCACAACACTATAAACAGTATTGTAGGTAACAATTAACCCTTTAGAAAAGCTGCTGCCTTAATCATTTATTTTACGTAAAAGTAACTTTAAGGTACTAGGGCACCTGGCAAATTGACTTTAGGATGATTCAGGATGCTAAATTAGCTTTAAGTGGAATTTAAACACGTATGTGATGATTTACCGGTGAATTTGGTACAGATATTGATGGTGCCCAGAGAATGAATACTTTGGTGAACCAATGTCTTTTAATCTATTAACCACACACACCATCTATTACACACCATGAAGCTGTGGTTTCAATTGATATTTCCCAAAAACAGTTGGATGAAAATGAGGGAAAACATGTTTTGTCAGGACTCAACGTAATCACATTGGTGATCCCTTAACTTTCCATATAGTGCCATCATAGTCAACATTTCAATTGGTCAAATACCTTGGTTTATTCAAAAAACCTGCAAAGTGCTGACATTCCAATCAGCCTCTTTACTTAGGGTGAAGTCCTTTTTTTTATCAAATGTCAGCTTGCCTACTGTATGTGTTAAATGATGATGACATTCTAAACCTGCTGAACACCATCATGTTTACATTTCCAATTAAAGCATTAGCACGCCGACTTACATTTTTAACTCAATGCACCACTCTGCCCAAGAACAGATGTACAGAGGCGCTAGCTGGAAGTTTTGGTAAAATTAGCTATTATAAAACTCATCATTGTGAACAATCTGCTAATGCTGCTGAGCTCTTTCGGTCACTGGCTCCTTCTACTGAGCGGAGCCAAGAAAGGTGTTCATTTGTGCTGACAGCCAGTTTGCCCTGAGAACAGAATCAGCAGCTGCATTAGTCCTGTCCAGCTGGGAGGTTTCATTTATGTATGCATAATTGAACATCCCCACCCCCTCAACCACCGCCACACACAGACTCCCATAACATTGGTCCAATGTCGGAATTCATATATTTCTCATTTTATAGCTTCAACTTTGTAGTTATTGTTTTGTTTATCAACTTCATTTGTTTTACTATTCCTCTTACGACACAGATTGTACACAAGGGATCAATCTTGTCCCCTCTTTTTTGTAATAATTAAGAATGTGCAGTAATGTGGGACCAGATGATGTGAAGCATCTGACACTTATATGACAAACATTATAAATCTTCATACTGATATGTTAGGCTCATGGGATTTCATGCTTTTGGAGGATAAAAACACATTTCAGAAACCAAACCTGAGAACACATTTGCTTTAATTCGAGAAAGGTATATATATTTGTATCCTTCATCTTTATTCTTTCTGTTTCTCTCTCTACAAACAGGATGAGTGCGCTGCTGGGTTGCATGAGCTTTGGCGTGCGTTCCCTTATGGACCCAGACAAGGTGAGTTCAAACGGAGATTACAGGAATAAAGTCATTCTGTCAACAGTGTACTAGCTGTCTTTTCAACTTCCCCTCCACCTACGTGTGCGTCCAGTCATTAGACCATGCATCTAAAAGTTCAGCTCAGTGTGGATGTATCCAGTGACCTCGATAGTTCAGAGGAAACACTTTGGGGTCACGGGTTTTTCAGTCCAGCAGTACTGCCTCCAGTCACTGGAGTAAGACACAGTGAGTCACTCGCTCTACTGAAATGTTATGGGTCACACACTGGTCACACACCTAAACACAGATGCCTTCATTATTCTGGCGTCTTACGGAGTTGGCATGGAGTGTCTTTTTCCTACTATATTAAGGTTAGATTTGTAACGTAATTGCAGAAAGTAATGCCTCTTTATACTAAACAAATATCTTTGGAGACTTTTGATATCAGTTGTACTGAAATGATAACAAGACAGCGTTTGTTACCCATCAGCAGACACAAAGCCCTAAGTTGATTCCTTCTTTCAGCTTTTGTTGGATCTGTCAAAGACTAGCACATCCAGTTCTCATCACAAATACTGAACATTTCCTTTCTGTTGCTCAGGGCTCTATGTGGTTAGCTGGTGTGAATACAAATACAACAAAACAAGAATAAGTTACTATTTTAGCATCTAAGGTGGGCTTTAACTGTTATTAGTTGTGCCGGTATTAGGCAAGCAAGTTTACTTGTAATTTAATATAAATCCATCTTATAGATATTTCAGTAGGAAACAATGTGGTCGACTGACAAGCAGGCAGTGCCATCCCTAGACGGGAAACAAAAAGGGTGAGCCCACCTCATCCAACGCACCTGCAGAATAATATAGAAGAACACAGCACCGAGCCTTCCTTCTCAAATGGTCCCAGGTGATGGCAGATTAAATGTGAGGTCCAAGAGTTCAGTGTTGCCCTTTTGCTTATAATAGGTTCTCCTCCACTGTACAGTTGGTCCCCATAACTGCTCTTCATAGTTTATTCCCTTTACAATTGAATTATTCAACAATATTGTATCCAACTGCTTTCCCGGCCTCCACCTTTACATAATGTGTGAGTATTTTTAGGGATATTCTTTTGGATTGTAAGAAAACAGGAAACCAGAACCCTCATAACTGTTGAGAAGTGATCTCCAGTTGTCTGTTTCTGTTCCATAAGCCTTTCATTTGGGCTATTTAGCTTTAAGCTTTTCTTGCAGTTTTTTCTCAGACTAGCTGACAAATTGACATACAGTTCTTAATTTGGTGTTTAGAAATAAAAAGAGGAAAACAAATCGGGATCACAGCTGCATGTTATCTCTCTTTAACTCATCACCACAGTAAGTGTTTTTTTATTGATCCCAAATAACGCCCACATCAGTGAGGAAAAACAACCAACAGGAAGACATTCTATTTTAGTCAGGCTCATGGCTTTTTTCTTCTTTACATCTATCGCAATGAATATTTAATTGGCTTTAAATGCAGACGATTTATCTCAAAGTCACAGTCTTATCCCCCCTACCATACACTCTTTTTCTGTTGTTTATTTATTATTCAGACCTTCTTTCAAACCCTTCCCTCCTTTCTCTTTCCCTCCACTGGGCTCTTGTTACGTAGCTTACATGTATGAGTGTTATTTTTGTTACCTGCATTGCTTGCCTGTCACTTCATGTCATCCGTTTGCACCCTTTTGCTTCTCTGTGTTTACTTTTCTCATGTCCTGCTTTCTCTTTTTATCCTCCTCATATGTCTCCCTCCTGACTGGCATCTCCCTTTGCCCTGCTGTTCCCCCCCTTTGTCCAATGTACACGGTAATATTGAATGATACATCCATCCCTGACCGTCAGGACATATGCCCTCCCCTCCCCCATACTCTATACAAGTTCCCGCCCGTCCTCCCCCCTTGTCCCACAGCCCGCAGAAATCTGTCTACTCAGATAAGATGCTTTTAAAACGGAGATTATTGTCACTGTCCATGGCATCACATTATTTAGTACAAAAGAGGAGGCTGGCTGTTTGTGTGTGTGCGTGTGCATCGTTGTGTGTGTGTGTGTGCTGTAATACATTTGAGACATAAAGTAAGATCACTAATGACCTTAAAACAATGTTGTCATGTCCCTTTTTGCAAAACTGTGCTCACATCATCATCAGGATTATAAATCAGACCTTTCTGCATGACTTTATATAGCACACGTACAGTACAGGAGTTGCAAGCACACACACACGCACACACACACGCATATATATATATACACACAGTCACCATCTGGCTCTCAGGGCACAAGTGCAGAAGTAGGGGCATCAGCTGCTTAAATAAGCTAAAGCATTGTGAGTAGTGAGTGTGTATATTCAGTGTTTGCTGCCCTGGAGGAGCGGGCACATTGAATCAGTGTGTGTGGATTGGCCTTTTGTGTGCGAGTGTGTGTGTGTGTGTGTTTGTGTGTTTCTGTACAACATGTTTATGCTCACATGAAGAATTTATTTTAAAAGTAGTTCTCATTAAGTTGGATCCCCAAGCTTGATCTCAGGCGCACACTTGCATGCGCTAGACCCCCACACACATACACCCCAGTCACTCTTTGTGTATGTGCCATAGGATTTTCAAGGATGGTACTTCTTACTTGGGGAAGAGCTGGGGAGGAAGAAGCATCTTAAAGTGCCAACACAACACAACAACCCCACTGGTAAGTTTGATTTTGTATTATTAATGAACTAATCTTGAACTAAAATGTGTCCGTACTAATGAATAGGGAAATATGTGATGTAAAAAGGTGACCTCTAATACAAGGTGAGACTATTACGAGACAATATTTATATTTAAATCAGGAACATGTTTTCTATCGAAGCCACACAATGGTAATTATTAAGCCCCAGAATGTTCTTTGCAGGAAAAAGTGCTATAGACTCCCTGTAAGAAAGTATTAAAACAATGATATTTCTACTTCCCAAACTCGCTTATCAAAGTGGCATCATCACAGTCGTTTTGTACAAATGATGAACATAAAAGTATATAATAGTTTAGAAAAACAATGAAATCAAAATAGTACAAAAAGATAAAATAACATACAAGTACATGTCATATCCATATGACATGCATGTCTCACATGTTTGTGTGTGTGCTCACAGCTCTAAGTCTTCATCAGTCTGAGGGTCTGGAGGTGGGGCGACTGGAAGCGAGGGATTAAGAGAGGGAAAGAGAGTGGGAGAGCAAATGAGGGAGCGAGGGGAAGGGAGGGAGGGAGGGAGGGGTCTGGACTAAACCCTGGCACGTCACAGTTGCCAGAGAGAGAAAGAGAGCGAGCGACAGCTCTCCCGTACCGTCCGCTGCTGGAGTGGATCTCCTCTCACACACTAATACACACCCACCTTACTCACACACACATCTTTACACACACACACACACACACACTGACACATTTGTTTGGAAATCGATTTTTCTTCTCACCACCTTTCGAGTGCTTCTTTTCTTGCTACTTATGTTTGCTCTTACTCGTAGTTTCACGTTGGTGGTGTGTGTGTGTTGGAGGTATGCTACTGTGTGCCAGCCATAAGGGCAACCTAGACTAGGTGAGTACTATGTTTGTGTTTTCATACTTGACTGTACTCACTGCACATGAGTATGTTTAGAAAGTTGCATGTTGATTTGCATTGTGAAGTGGTTTGTTGCTTTGGATGCTTTTGGAATGTGTGACTCGCTGTTGCACTTTCTTCCTCTTCTTCTTCACTCTTTCACCTTTCTTTCCCCCCATTATTGCTCATTCCTTTTACCTTCTTTATATGTCTACTCATTTTGCTTTTATTGTTGCTGACATATCTTTTAATCTCTTTGTTTTCTCTCTGCGTGTGCTGTTAATCTGTCCATTTTTCGTCCAATTCTCTCATGCTAAGCTTAATTGGTCACAATTGCTTTCCATGGAAGACCCCTTAAGCAGCTTACCCATGCAGAAGATTACAAACAGTACAACCATATCTTATTGTACACACGCATATGTACAAACCTTTTTGACCCTTTTCCCCTCCAACCCTTCTTATTCCCAGTACTTAGCTAATTCACATAGTTCCATTCAAGGTTATGAGAATGACGTTGATATCATAAGACGTTAGCTAACCCACCCCAATTTACACCGCTTGGTTGAACTAGGCTGATCTGCCTCATGCAACTTTAAAATGAGTTTTATGCTTCCGTGGTTGGAAATGAGACACAGGTATCAACTAGCACTGAGGACTCAGCCATTATAACGCTCGCATGAGGGCAACCTGAGACGCTTTTTATACTTATACTGAAGGGTTACACAGTCGGGAATACTTGTAACTTACGGCTCTTTAGCTATAACATAAGTGTAGTTATTGTAGTCACAGTTGATGAGGAAGCTAATGGAAGTCTTAAGGGTTAAGATGGCACGGCTTAAAAGGGAAAAACCAACATGCTGTAAATGGATGTAAAATGTTTTCATCCCTCCCAATGGAAACACTGCCCCACAACTGTCTCATCTGATCCATGTGTGTGTGTTGAGGGGGTGGACAGTGGGGGCATACTCATGCATGCACTTGTGTGTTGCCAGCTGGCAGAATGTAGGCCATGGAGGCTCTGAAGCACCGTAACGTGCACTCCCAAGGAAATGACCAAAATCCAATTCATTACAATAGTTTGTCTCAGTCTTTTTCACTCTGGTTATCCATGTGTTTGAGAATATCCTTGAGCCTTTTCCATTTCTCACCTGCCTTTCTCACCTGCCTTCCCCTCTCAGTCATCACTGTTTCTTTGACACCAGCACATCTTTGTCATGTGACCTCAGTCCATCTCTTATGTAACCTGACACTGTGGCAGAGTGCAAAAAGGCTTTTAATAAACCAACTATTTCTTGTGTCACTAGCTACCAGCCTATAGCCATCCATGATTTTCAATATATAAATGATATCATTAAGGAAAACGCTGCAACTACATGATTGAGTAGAAGCATAATGGGAGCTTGGCAGGCTCAACCTGTTCTAAGAATACTTCAGATTCAAAGGTGATTTATCATTTTTGCTGCTTGTCCTCATGCTTACTCTCTACTACTCTTAGCAATAGTGCAGAAGCAGCAAAGAAATAACACTTGTTATCTATTGTTTTAGATGTAGCAACCTTCAATGTACTTTTTAAGTGAGCTGGAAGTTAAGTTTAAGTCTTTAATAGTTATGTTACCAAATTTAAATTGGACGTTTTTTCCCCATATTTATGCTGCGAGTAAGGAAGTGTATCTATCGGAGTTGAATATCTAATTTCAGGTTCAACATACTTTTTATGGGATATATCATTATTGTCAAGTTGCTGAGAAGGAGCTGTAGTTGGTCCTGTGTTTGTTCGTCAGTTTGTGTGTTTGGTGTTCGTGCAGCACTTAAGCAAATTGTGGTATGCACTGATAAGGCAGAACCTCAGAGCCCTGCAGGGGGAAGGAGGTGCAGCCGGCACGCAACAGTAGAATTATGATAAGGGTTTACTGTTTCTTACATAAATGCAGAAAATACTTGCAAAAAGTTCAGTACATTAAGTTAACTAAATCAGGTTCATAAGGAGAAAACATTACAAATGTTTAAGGTGGTAAATGATTCAAGAATTAAGGTTTAGGATTAGATAGTTAACCATGGTGTGGTAAAAAAATGAAACTGTTTTCGTTACCCCCAATCAAGATACACTTTAGCTAAAACTTCAAGCATCAAGCATCTGTCTAAGGACAGAGGGTGTCGTTTTTCTCATACTGATATTCTGAACAATCTGTGTTGTATTTGCTGTAAAGTGTCTCTACTGTAGGCTAATTTTATTATATGTACAGCACTTTGGCTCGACCAACAATCGTTTATAAATGTGCTATATAAATAAAACTTGATTTGATCAGTTACAGTCAACAATCATCTTGTGAATGAGTTCAACTTTAATCATTGGATCTAAAAATAACAATTCAATTCCCATATACACACGGCTATAGAATACATTTGTCTCCTTATGTGACTCTTCTGCACTGGAGAAATACAAAAATTGGTCCTGTATCTATTTTATCCTAAGACATGATTTTCTTTAATGTATTTGTGACAAACCAGGCGGAAGTATCAAATGTCAGACCAGAACAATGTCAGTAAATGTCAATAATCCTATAATGACAGATCCACTTTGAACACAACCTATCTTTACAAGGAAACATTATCTGTTGAAACAAGCCTTTTACTGGTCTGCTGGATGAAATGCTCATGTAGACGGACTCACCAGAGGTGCACTATTTGGATCAGTGTGTCTGACTCGCTGTGTGACCTGTGCCATTTCATAGCCGGGGCAGCAGCAGGACTGGAAAGCTAGCAGCACTGATGTGGCATCATCCTGACCTAATGATTGTTCTTGGACATACAGAAATAGAAAAACAGCAATCTGAACCTTTGCTATAACGACAAGTACATTCCCGATGAAAAGTAAAAAAACACATCATGAACATCACTAAGAGATAATTCACTAAACATGAAATTGTTACATTTCCTGCACAATAGACTTTCTGTTTGCATGTTTCAGACTCTGCTTCCATAACAAAACATATTCGCTTTGCACTGACGGCTAATAACAATGTTGGACTACAATAAAAAGGCTGCCATCTTAACTTTGCTTAACATCCGTTGAGCGGCTGTGCATGAGCGGCAGCCAAACAACGTCCTTGAGATAATGAGTGCCAGGGAAATTCATGTTTATTCTCTGAACACATTTTTCTATCAGCATTAATATAACAGTTCATGATGCATGGACGGTTGATGTAATGTGCTCTGTTGGTGTTTTAAAATGTTAAAGCTGGTACTATTTAAATAGTAATAAGAGGAGAACAAAACACAAAAAGTGAGTTGTTCCCATCTGTGCTAGTGTGTGCACAATGGTGTACTTTGTATTTGTATATGTCTATAGCTTTTACCGTTGAGCTCTTTTAGCTCTGCTCATTTGGCTCCTGCATTGTGTGAGTTGAGATTGCTGACCCACGGTGACATGAACGTGTGTGTGTCTCTGACCATGGCTAATGCATTTCCTTCCAACAAGCTTACGATGTGGGTCAGATGGTCTGTATATGCGTGAAAGCAGAAAATAGCTGAAGACTCATTGGGCTCGTGCTTAAAAAAGTGTGTCATCTGCATGGTACGCATAATTGTTTCACTTTTCATAATAGATGAGTATAGTCCAGATATACTGTACACACTCTCACACACACACACACACACAAACACTGTTGGGCTTTTCCAGATGGTGAGCCTTTAAATCTGATTAAAACGAACACTACGTGATTAACTTATATGGAAGTGGTGGGACTTATAGGGGCGGGGGTGCTTTATATTGTTCGGTTGCTCTGCTAAGTATAGGATGTGAGTTTGTGTGGGTGTGTGATCATGTGAGACAATGTCTTGGGTGAGTTTATGTCTGACATGCAATAAGTCTGATGCTCTGATGATAACATTGACCCGGAGCTTTTTCTCACCTGATCTGAAGTGAAGCTTTTGACCCAGTGGCTTACACTCGCAGCGCTGTACTGCTCTGTTGCACTTTCCTGTCAAAGAAATGCAAACGCAACTCCTTTTATTCAACATTTAAATACTTGAGATTCATGATTGTCATCCCTCACCATCTATCTTATATTTAAAACTGTCATTAACATCTTAAATATCTTGTCTCTGAAAATAG